CACATTTGACCAAATAAACCCAGCTTCTTAACGAAGCTGACTGTATGGTGAGTGGTCTTTCAGGTCAGATGGTGAGAGTACGGATCTGCCGAACTCAAAGAACCTGATTCAGTCCCCAGCGGGGCAGGCACAAAGTATCTACTCTCCAGTTTCATCATTTTTCAGACAGAGGCGACACACACTGTCTTCCGATAGTCCAAGTCTCTGTATGTGATGATTCAAATGACAGTGACCTGTAAGAAGGCCTGCTAGACATCGTAGTTCATCCCTACTGTAGTCCAACAACTGTTTGGAATCAAGCTTCGAAGGGTGAATAAACGCTTTGGAGTGAGCCAACCCTGGAATATTCTGCCAGACGTCAATAAATCTTCTCGCCATCCAGGTGTTCAATGTTTTTTTGGCAAAGCCCAAAGCTATGCCAATGACAGGTTCTAGTCCGATGAAACCGCTTGCAGCACCCTCTTTTGCAAGCGAGTTAGCAGCTTCATTACCTTTTGGCAATTTGCTACCAATTTAGACGTTCCTTGGTAGGAGCTTCCAATGCCGCTTGACTGTCCGATAATATTTTTATTAATTTGTGTATAAAGCCGGCTTCCAACGGCGCGGGACTTGGCGAGTCTGGCTCGCGAATTGGCGAGTCACGCGCCGTGGAAATGCGAAGGCTCGCCCGTTGAAGAGTATAAAATTTGTGACAAATTTTGTTTGAAATTTTTTTTCATACGCTCGACCGTTTTTGAGCTCAGCCATACTCTGTAATGCAAAGTCGAAATCGAATAAAACAAAGATGAATTTTTAAATTGACATGAAATTCACTTTATTCGGAAGATAATCTTTTGGTATTACAATTTTAATATGATTTCTGGCATATGACCGCCACGGCCACAAATGCCGTATGTCGGCCACAAATATTGGCGAATGTTGACCACCAAACAGTCAATCGTGTCGGGCTTATCGGCGTAGACTAGCGACTTCACATATTCCCACAGAAAATAGTCTAGCGGCGTTAAATCGCACGATCTTGGGGGCCAATTCACGGGTCTGAAACGTTAAACTATGTGGTTACCAAATGTTTCCTTCAGTAAATCAATTGTGGCACGACCTGTGTGACATCTTGCGCCGTCTTGTTGAAATCACAGCTCCTGCACATCATGATTGTTCAATTGATGAACGAAAAAGTCAGTAATCATGGCTCTATAGCGGTACCATTGACTGTTACGCTACGACCTGCATCGTTTTTAAAGAAGTACGCACCAAAGATTCTACTAGCCCAAATAGATGTAGAGTGCGATACGTATTTCGAACAGAACCATCATTTTCAAAATGATTTTGCACAATCTGGAAGTTTTATTAAGTCATCGTCTATTCATGTTGAAATGCTAAACCAATCTAAACATAAATCGCTTCACAGTTGACAAAATGGCCGCCAGTTAAAAAAGTGTTGCCAACTTAAAGTTCTATAACGAATAACGATGAGATTGGAACCTTTGGTGATTTCGTAAATTCCCGAACTTTCTGTGTTTTCTAGTCTATCTTTTGGATTACCAAGAAGCTGTTGCAATTTATATTGTACTCTTGAGTCAGAAAAATGCGTGGTAGTTCGTTCCAAAATTGCTGAATTTTTACCAAAAAACCATATCGCATGAGCATCGCTCAGGAATTGTTGAATGACGTCAACGGCGATCCAGATTTGCATTAAAAGATCATAACTGGTGACGAATCATGAGTATATGGTTATGACATCGAAATCAAAGTCCAAAGTTGTGCCGCTTCCGAGAATACGAAGAAAACGTCCGGTATTGTGGAAAAACGATTCATTGCTTTTGCAACACGATAATGCACCTGCTCACTCGTCATTGTTTGTTGTTATTTTTTTGGCCAAAAGCAACAACGCAATCATGTTTCAGCCGCCGTATTCACCAGATTTTGTCCCGGCGACTTTTCCTGTACTCTAGATAGAAGAGACCTATGAAAGGAAGACGTTTTGCGACGATTGAAAATTCATCTTATTTTTTGAACAGACAGCGTCTGTTTCAATTTCATCAAGAATGTTTAAAGTATGAACTGAACGGAAAGAAGTTATTTTCGTGTAATTCAATGTTCGTAATCGAACGGCATAAAGCCGTTTCTGTTGAGTATTACAGGTTTTCTTTCAACATCAAGGCTGTTACAACTGAATTTTTTCAGTATTGTATTTTCATTTCAGGAAATGCTAAAAAATTCACGAAATTTCATTACTATTAGGAAAATATTGGTAATATAGTCTTTATTTATAGGCAGATAGTTGCCGTTTTACCAAAATTATTTCTGCCAAAGGTAGTTATTTTGGAAGAGATAGGTACATAATTTAATCTCATTTGATCTGATCAGTCATTCAGATTTGACTGCTATTAAATTATCTTCCCCAATTCTGACTCTCAATATTCTTGACAATTTCATTAAAGTATTGTAATTTTTCAGTTACTACTAATACTTTCATAGTTACGACTATATATATTGCTCCTCAATAAACATATATATGGAAAACTTCACTACATTCAAAATTTTAACATATCCAATTCATTATTTATTCAAATATGGTTGTTTTTGTTTNGAAAGATCGCGACTAGTCGAGCGGTAGTCGCGGCGAATAGTGCAGTGATCAAACGAGTTTAGTTGTTTTCGCCGCGAAAAATGAACACCGAGACTTTTATTGCTGAATAATTATTCATTCTACCGTCAATTACAAGTTAAAAGTTGTTTTTTGTTTTAGTTGTACAAAAATTACTGTCATATAATTAAAATTTTTGCAATAAATAACATAAATATCTGAAAGTGTTTTTATTTCATGAAATAATAATATACAGGGTAACGAAGGTTTCAATACTCATTCTGGCATACTCAAAATATTTTTCTGGATATAATCTGTATTTCTCGTACTTCTTGAAAACTATTACTTTCCAAGCAATATCGAAATAATTTCGATAAAGACATTTCTTTGTCGGACTACTGGTCGCGGCGGCGAACGTGACTGCCCGTGGCCTGCAAACGGTGCCGCGCGAATGGTCGCCTCGCTCCCCGCTTCGTCGTTCGCACTGCCGATCCCCGTGGCCAAACCGTCTGTCTGGAAAATGATGAAACAGCAGAGTCTTGCAGAACCACGTTTTTTGTATGTTGTATGAACTCTAAAGAGTTTTTTATACTAAAACTTGGTTCCGCAATAGACAAGGTTTCAAATTCCTTAAAAATTTCTTAAAAATAACGATTTTGTGTTGGGAAAAAACTCCAGTAATAATATTCATTTGAAATGTATAATTAGCAATTAAAATAAGTTATTATCACTATATATAATATAGGAACATGAAGCGAGACTGCGTTTGCATGCGATACTTTGATTGGCTTCCTATTAAGGGGAAGTCCTGAGGTCTCTGACCGGGGATTCCCCGCCATAGCAGCTTAACGCCAAGTAAAGTTGCCACACCAAATAAAATCGAAGAAAAAGAAGTATAATCACGAATTTTTCATTCATATGGAATCAAAGGCACATCTTTGGACTGAATCAAATCCTATTTGACAAGTAGAACCCAACATTTGATTGAAAATGACATCTCGGGGATAATTAAATCAGAATCAATTGTGATAAAAAAGGTGTGCTACAGGGATCCATCCTAGGCCCATTATAATATATACTGTACACAAATGAAATACTAAATGTAGTTAATGAATATATTGTATTATATGCTGATGATATATCGGTCATCGTAAAAGAAAAGAACTCCCAGTTGGACACGACAAAGACAACAAATGTGCTAGATGTATTAAACAATTTCCCCACAGCAAATGACTTACTACTTAATATTGACAAAACTCAAATAATTCATTTCGCAAATAGATCCTTGCCAGAGTTGAATACCTTTGAATATAATAATCAAAATATAAACATATGCAATCAGGTAAAATTTTTGGGACTCTTGATAGATAGGAGACTGGACTGGAAAAATCACATAGACTACTTATCAAAAAATATTGCAAAATATTGCTATGCATTGAGAATACTGTCGGAACATGTCTCAACTGAAGCTGCCCTCTCTGCATACCATGCTTATATTCAATCTAGAATAAAATATGGAATAATATTCTGGGGAAACTCTGTTGGTATCTCTAGGATACTCATACTACAAAAAAAATGTATTAGGTATATCTATAAGATG